GTGAAGTCAGCTGACCATTTTGAATTGTCCATAATTTTTGTATGGTTGGTTTTGCTGACTTACTTTATACGGCACAAACGAGCACAAACGAAGTACAAACGATTAAACCTAAATCCGTTGTTTGTGCTTTTCATGGTCAGCTCACTTCACGGACCCGTGAAAAATTCCTACCAAAAATTTATCTCTTCAAAATCTTATTTTCAAACACAATTACACTAAATACTTTTGATTTAGTCAGTGACTACTGCAAAAAGAAAAATTCTCCGCCTCGTGTAGCATTTCAGTAATGCTATGAGGAATTAAATAAAGTACACAATCTAGAAAAAGTTTCTGCAGAATTTAAAGATCTCATTGCGCTCTTAAAACCAATAACTTTTGTTAAACCCCAATATGATCCAGGCAAATCGCAACATTCTTGCAAGAGCCTTATCTGCATGGGAAAACGCGGTGATCGCGTATACTGCGATGCGTCCAAACCACCTTGTCGTTCAGCTTTTGCCTTCTATCTATATCCCTTCCAAAAATGTATAGGAATTCTATACAATACAGGGGTTCCATTTCACCTTACCGTTGGGGGGGGGGGGGGTCCAGTGAGAAGCGATGCAGGCCTATGGGATGTGGTATATTAGGTACGTGATAGTTCTGACTGCCTATGCCTAGGTACTTGACTTCATCTTCAGGTGTTCTCTAAAAAATGGAGGTAAAAAATTGAGGAGAGCATATACAATTAACATACAGTGGAAGGGTGTGCACGAACTGTGTACATTAATGAAAATTCGGACCCGAAAGTATAGGTTCACGGGGGTAAGCGTGAAAAGTCCGCTTAGGGGTTGGTCTTTGCGCACATTTTCGCTCCTTACTCGGTCATTTGACGCCGCTTTCAGGTATGTCGAAATCAAGTGCTGTTTTACCTCGTGTGGGGGGGGGGGCATTAAGTCCACGAGCAAACAATTGAAGATTACAATTTTCCGTGTTTCAAAATTACAGAGTAGTGCGTGAAACACTGAAGAAATTATTATTATTATGTATAATATACATGAAAAGCAAGCCAACTGACAAAATAAATCTCGATATTATGACGGTTAAAGAGACAAAATAAATCTCGATATTATGACGGTTAAAGAGATTTTAACATGAATAAATAAAACCTGGGAATAATTCAAATAGTCAAGTACGGTTATCCAGTGTAGCGAGGTAGGTAGCGTTTTTGTTCAAATAAAACATGACGTCAGAACTCAAAAATGTTTTGTTTTTAGTATTGTCACTAGTTCATGTGCACATCAGAAGTTTTGAAAACGTGCTTGAAATAGACTAATAAGTTTTTCTGTTTTACTTGTTTACAAGGTGTATTATGAGAGATAGAAAAAGGCTTGAAATACAAAAGTTGTGGAGTTTATCATAAATCGCCAAAAAATGTAAAGTAAATAGAACAAATGAATATTGCAAAATCAGTAAAAATTGCAAGTTTGGTAAATTTTTAATGGAATGCGCTGTATATTTTTCACAAATTGAATACATCTTCTCTTACTGATTTGAAAAATGTACCTATGTTGACATTTTGTTCTACCCGTTTTTGAATGAACATCCTGAGTTTATTATACCAATCTCTTGCTTAAAATGGACAAAGACTACTGAAAATGTATTGAAAGTAATTGTTTATTGAAAATAAATATTAAAAACTAAACTTGGTCTGGGTTATTTCCAGGGTAAAAATAATATATTAATTAATAATAATGTAGACAACGAGCGACAAACACAGACGGACGGACAGAACGTAAAAATGACCAAATT